TGACCAAGCAATCACGAAGCTGTTGCATCATAGAACGTCACGGATTGCGACATATTTCTTTGAATTTTTCGAGTTTGGCTCGAAAAATTCGAGAAAGATCCTGATTTAATTGATCACATCTTTTGAAGTGATGAGGCCAATGTCAATATGAATAGAACGGTTAATCGACACAACTACACCTACTGGGTCAGAGAAAATCCACACGTAGAATTTGAAGTGCCAGATACCAGAGAAGGAGTCATGGCATGGGGTGGAATGACTTCCAATGGACTTGTCGGTCCATTCTTTTTCAAGGAGGCTGTCACCAGTCCAGTGTACAAACAAATGCTGATTGACTATGCATGGCCTTAGTTGAAGCGCAAGGGACTTTACTTTCAACAAGATGGAACGGCACTTCACTATGATATTATGGTTCGCAACTGATCTGATGAAAAATTTCCAGGTCGCTGGATTGGAAGACCTGGTCTATTCAACTGACCAGCGCGTTCACCGGACTTCACACCATGCGATTTTTTCCTTTGAGGGTATCTAAAGAAAATCGTGTTCAGGGAGCCGTGTGCTACAACTCCGGAGCTTCACGACAAAATTGAACAAGCTTGTGCATAAGTGACAGAAGAAATATGTCGCAATCCGTGACGTTCTATGATGCAACATCTTCGTGATTGCTTGGTCAATGAAGGACAGTTTCTTTCATACTAGTTTTGCTGCATAATACAGTATAATGCGGCCTAAAGCTATGAGTAGAAGACAGATTTGTAAGGTATTTGGTGATTTACTGGACATCCTATAAGTTTCAGATGTATGAACAAGTTGTTTATTTTTGAATAAAAACTTGGAACTCTCCTATATCCTCAGAAAAAAAATCATCTCATTTAGTCAAAGCACCGTGGAGATAAACAGATGTTTTTTTTTGAAAAATGATTTTCTGGACACCCTATACATCAGCCAATACACTTCTGAATAAGCAGATGAGACAGAACAGAGATAATTAAAGAAGATTGTGTACAATTTTCAAATAAAAGATCTGAAATATCATCAATCTAAAGAAAAAAACAATATATCAATGAGTTATTTTCTTGAAAAAAAATATACCTGATAATATTCTAAAAGATTATAAAAAGCTAATTCTTCTCGGAAAATTTTCTCAGACAGTGAAATCATCAATGGACATTTTATTTTATTCGATAATTCAGAGGATGCGTAGAAAGGTAAAATAATACGGTCAAATATATGTGTACATCACGTGATAAAAAGTAAGTATTTAGATTGAGACGCCAAAATGATTGAAGACGAGTACCGTCTGCTAAAAGTGTATTTGGATAGCGAACAAGATTATCGATGCGAATCTTTTTGAAAAAAGTGGCTCATCAAAAAAGAATAAGTGAAGAAACAAAGAACTACATACTTGAAATGGCTTGCCAAGAACATTGAATAATCGTTGTTCTGCATTTTCGCTTTTTTCTTTCGTTTCAGTATGCATTATTACTGAATGATAGTAAGCGTCGTTTTACATTTCGTTGTGTTTACAGTATTATTGTTCAAAGTTACTCTTTCAATCTAACTCAACTTTGAAAAGAGCATAATTTTTTAAATTAATTTTCAAAACACTAATTGTGGTTCTTGCGCTGCAATGTTATTACTAATTTCATTGGACATCGTAAAACAATATTTTACTGATATCAAACGTATACTTATGCCATCTGTGCTGTTGAATATTTCATATTTTTGAAATGGATTTAAAACTTTTATCAAATACTCAAATAGTTTTGAAATAGATAGCGTTCAGTCAGTGACGCGTCATAAAAAAAGCAACAAAACTTATATACATACAAAGAATGACAAAGAACGAAAAAAAAAAAGAAATAGCATACAAAGACAGAACGAAAAGAAAATTTTTCAACTAAAATTTCTCTTTTCACCAATATTGAAAAACGTTTTCATTATTTTTTTTCATCAGTAAAGTCATCAAAGCTAGTCTAAAAAAATATCCGGACACTTATTAGTTCTTTTTTTATATTTTTCGTTTTGTAGAACAAGAGGAAAAATATTAAAAATTTTTGCTTTGACAGAGAACAAACATGTTCTCTTTTCAGCATTTGATTGTCTTCAATTTGTACTCTATTCCATATGAAAATCATTGTTGAATCGTTCATCAAGAACGAAAATATTGATTCGTTATCATTGTTACATAAATCGACTGGCATGAGCAAAATTTAGTTCGGTGTCCGGATATTTTTGGACTACCTGAAAGAGTATATTCCATCTATTCTTCTTATGATATTTTGTTGAATAAGTATCTATCAATCTCGTTTAAGACACTGAAATCTAGCATGGCTGCATATGTTGAAGCCGAGATACAAACAGATGATCAAAATGGAACAAATGATGAACATACAACAAATAATGAAAACACACCTAACCCAAAATTATAGTAAGAGTAGCTATCGTAACAGTTTGTTCTTCTTCTTTTTTTCTGTCCAGTTTCGACAGTAGGTTTTGGTTGCTCAGCAGAAATAACCTCTTGTTGTTCTGTTACAGCTACTTTTGGTTGAGGTTGGATTTCTTTAGTTGTTGTTTTGGCTTGAACAGCTTGTTCTGTTGGTGCAGTTTTCTAAAGAAAACAAAGGGGCGTGAGCAACCGACTTGGTACCCCATTTTGATACAGTCCTATTGTAAGGATAAAACATACTGTTGTTCGTTCAAGTTTAACAGCTGATGAACTCGCTTGAAACAATGGTTATTGTTCAACTATTGTTGTAGTCGTTACTGTTTCATCAATCTTTTTCTCTTCAGATTCAATTTGAACTGTAGATGCTTGAGTTTATTCTGCTGGTTGTTGTGTTATTGTTATTTTCTCAGTTGTATCTATCTTCAGTATCAACAAAAGTTGCATTTGGCTAAAGAAAAAATCAATACCAAACTGAAATTTATTCTCGTATAAGAGTACTTGAATAGTAATTGTTGTTTCTTCATGTTCAATCTGAACAGTTGGTTGTTGTGGTTTAGGTAGAACATTAATAAATGATGTATCTAATATTAAATATTTACTTTCAAGTGAATAAACTCTTTGATCAGATAATTGTAAATCTTTGATAAATAAACTAAATGCTTCATTATTTTGTTTAATATTAATTCTTGAATCATTTAATAAAATTGATTCATCTTTCGTCCAAACAATGATGTATCAGGTTTAGAATCAAATATACATTCAATAGTTAATGTTTCATTTTCAATAAATGTATCTTGAGATAAGTTCATAATTTGTCTTTGAATTAGTTTTTCACGTACATTTAATTGCATAATCGGTTGAACTGATCATGAATACGTAATGAATAATGACCTTGATCAATTAATTCAACAGGAGAAAATTTAATATCAACTGTTGTTGGTGATGTTGCTTGAATATAAATATTATTTGAGGTAAAGGTTGATGATTTCTAAGAACTTTTATATTGGATAAATTAACAGCTGAAGGTATTTCAGCAGTTAATTATATCATATCACCTTCCATTACTTCATCAACAGGTGTATTATCTTCAATGAGCCCTATTCCCAATTCGCTTGTTGGCCCCTAACAAGCATAAAAAATGGGGCATACACTAAGGGCCCAAACAGACTACAAAAGTGAATTAACTTAATTCTGAATTAATTCAATGCACGTCCACACCAAGAGATTAATTCGCCAATCAAATGAAGGGGAAGACATCTATCAAAAATCGAATCGAACAATAGATGGCTGTATTATATGTACGTATGTTTTTTGACAATTTTGACATTTGATAGATAAATTTGGCAAACCATTCTAAAACAGTATAATTTATTTAGGATGCTTTAATCAAGATACCGGTATGTGTATTTCGTTTAAATTGAAATTCTTTATTTATCTAGAACAACAAGAAAACAATAATATTATTAGATATCAAAATCTAGTTTGATTGAAATTTGAGTAGGTACATAAGAAAACTTATTCTTAAAGAATCAGAACAGTAAGGCATTATATTGGATTTTTCAAAAAATATTGTGTTAGTGCATATCGAACGTCGTTTCCACCACTTTTTGATGCTTTATATAAAGGTTTTTTATAAATAGTTTCAGGACCAAGTATATCCCAATCAACTTCAGGATGATCTCCAGTGATAATACATAAATTATGTAAAACAACAAGTGTTTTTATAATATTAGTAGTATTATTCATATGAAACTCCATCTTTCTTTTTAAACAACGAAATCGGTTCTTTAGAATTCCAAATGCCCGTTCAACTGTGGATCTACATCGACTCAGCCGGTAATTAAATGTTGCATTTTCCTTTGGCATATCCGGTTGAATTGTATATGGTTTCATCAAAGTTCGATCCAGTGGAAAAGCCGAGTCAGCAATCAGATGAGTCTGAACTTTTATATTGTTAACTTTCATGTAATTTTGAGAATATATATCATTTTGAACAACATCATACAGTTGGCACTTGGAATAAACATAAGCATCATTACAACGGCCTGGAGCACCAACGTTCACGTAAGTAAATAAAAGATTGGAGTCCACCGTTGCTAGCATTATAATAGAGTGAAATTTCTTGTAGTTGTAATAATCTGATTCTAAGCCCTGGGGTGGTTTAATACCAATATGAGTACCATCTAGTGCACCGAGACACATGGGATAATCAAATTTATCCAGAAAACCATCCACAGTTCTTTTTATTTCTTCATTCGATGCAGGAAATTTAACAAGTCGATAGAAAAGCGTATCGACAACTGTTGCACAAAATTCGTGTAAAATCTCGCCTGCAGTACTTTTTCCGATACCAAATAAATGTCCGATAGTTCTTAATTCTGATTCAGATCCGAGATTATATAATGCACAGCAAATTCTTTTTTCCACTGGTATTGCTGATCGAAATTTTGTTTCATTTTTTTTCAATAAAGGTCCAACATGTTTAATAAGTAATGAAACTGTGGAACGTTCCAATCTAAAATTTTCTTTAAATTGTTTGTCATCCATCTTTGGAACAATCTCTGTCCACCATTTAAGACTTTTGTCGTGAGACCATACCATACGATAACTGGCTTCAAGTGAATTGTCAAGTAACATCAGCAAAGCAATCATCAAGCGATTTCTAAGATTCGAATACCGGCTGGATTTCCTAATGAGACGTAGACATTCAAGACGAATATTTTTTATCTCATTATTAATCCTTTGCCTTTTATTTACATGCAGACGTAGGAAAACCAACAATGACTTTTCATCCATCTAGAGATTAGAAATTATTCTTAGACCCATGACCATGTTTGCCGAATTGATTGAACAGTATTTTTTTAATACAAGAACTGAATCACTTTATCAATAACGAGTATCAAATGAAGATTTATTTTAGTTAATCGATTAACCAAATTTTATTTGGATAAGTATAAATAACAAATACATATAATAAGTAACAGCTCACAAAAATCAACTATCATACATAAGAAAACAAAAAAGAATAATCTACTGTATCATCATAACACAAAAATACTTTTATTTAACATCAAAAAAAGCAAAAACTAATTTATGATCTTGGTTTCATGTTGTTCACCATATTTCTAAAAACTTCTAAGAATTCCCGCTCATTTTTCATGCTCTCATGTTGCAATGCCGTTTGCTTTTCCAACAGCTGTACCACTTTTTTTTCCGACTCTGATGCAGTGTCATTAACTTGTTCGATCTTTTTGAGTAATTCTTGTATCATGTCTAATCTAAAGACCACAATATTAACTATTATGAATTATATTTATTATTATTTCTTACTTTAATTCTGACACCTTTTTCTTTCGTTTCGAAGAATTCTTTTTATCATCACTGTGTTTTGCCACCGGTTCGCTTTTCAAAACGCAGTCAGGTCCTGAAGAACTTGTTTTCTTTTCATGGTGTTCTTGATCAGCAGCTGGTGAATCTTCGATATTCTCCAAATCAATTAATTCTTTTGCTTCTGCAGCAAATTGAGTTGTTTTATAAGTATCTGCACCACCATCAACTATATTGAATAATTGGGCTTCTTCTTGCATTATGATTGAATCGGATAAGAGACTGTCGTCGTTGTACGGCCTTTCTCCTATAATAAAAGAAGAAATTTATAAACACTATATGATTGATGATCTAGAAACTTGTTTGAAACAAATCTTTTATAAAAAAAAAAGGCAGAAGCTTTTAAATAAAGTTATTTTAATCAGATTTGAATAACAAAACATACCTATTAATTTGTCAATCGAGTTGTAAAATGGCCATGATGGTGGACTTGCACCAGTTTTCCCCATATCTTTCTTCTTCCGTCTATATTCACCAACGAGATTGCCAATTTTCGCTTTAACATCATGGCCAGTAAGGGTACGACTTGGTAACATTTCGTTAAGTTGCTTTGCGATTATATTATAAATTGGTGTGTTTCTTGTTCCGCCTGTGGTTAATTTCGAATAATATTCGCTCCACACTGATATGAATGTGTTGGTTTCTTCCTCGCTCCAGTTCTTACAACGTTTCGCTGTTTTTGCAGCTATGTCAATAAGTATATGTACCATACAATAACAAAAAGATTACCTGGTTCTTCAATTTGTTTGGTTTTTCTTTTTCGCAATGATGAAGGTGTTGATTGTGAAATAGGTCTGATGAAATGTGAAGCTACAAGAGAAATGAATATTATATGTTGATTTTCGCTGTGTATCTTAAAATAATTACTTACAAATATCTGAATCGTCTGAAATTTTCACGTTATTAGGCTTCAGAATTGGTATATCGATAGGAGGTGGTGAAATTTGTTTAGGTGCGTCAACATTTAATGTTGCAAGTCTTGAATTATCAAGACTCAATTGTGTATGTGCATTCGATAAATTCGATGTACAGTTTGGCGAAGTAATAATAACACGTGCAGCCTTTGTACCAAACGAGGAAGACTGTGTTGGAGTCAAAATTTGAAAACGAACGAGCGAGGCTTGACCATTAACCACATGAGGAAGATTAACAGATTGAGATGATGTTGTTGATAGTGATGAAAGATTGACCTTGAATAAATTTGTAGGTACAACAGATTCTGAAGCATTTGAATTCATCATCTACAAAAAAAAATTCATTTTATTTCTAATGTCAGTATTTTATCACAATTTCGTTGAAATAGTCGATAATAAAGTTTGACGTCGAGATATACTATGACCACCATTATAGTTGTATTGAGCCTCGACCCAAAACATGTCAAAATAGGCGACACTCTATGCATTTTCTATTCGACAAATACACACACCATCTGATTGGCGCATTAACGTTAATTCGTCCAAAAAAGATGACTTAATTCTATATTAACGTAATACGCGATTCTATTGGTTAATTCAGTATTAACTCGCGTAGTCTGTTCGACCCCTAAGGCCCCGAACAGACCGAACAAGATAAAACTGAATTAACCAATGAGACGATTAGAAACGATAAAACAGAAATAAGTC